CTTGACCGCACCGGTATGGTGCCTGCCAAGAGCTCTTCGATGATCAAGTTAATCAGTCTAAAAAAAAGGCAGCGATTTAATAATAGTTTTTTTCGTCGTACCTTATTCCCGAGTCATCGTCCTATTTATTATCGTTTCCTTTCTTCTCAATAAAGGAATTTCATCATCCTTATCCTATGGAACTTATCTTATGGAAATCTTATCCTTGATAAGATTTGTCATCATCTTCATAAAAATCTTATCCTGCATAAGATTTGTCATCATTCTTATCCATGGAAATCGTTACCCCTAATAACAAAATATTATCGTTGATCATCCAAAAGATCTGGCGGTTGGTCAACAGTTAGTTGCCTCTATTGTTAAGTCAAGATAGATTTATTTTTCCCTATCAAATACGATTTTGAGATTGACCTTTTTTTTTATTATTAAATGAGTTGTGTACAAACTTTTCAAAATAATAGCATATTTGAATTCAATTTTTTGAAATAGACACGATCTCGAGTTAAGTTCAAACTGAAGCAGCCAATGTAGTGAACATGTTTTTTACCCTAAGTGAACTAATGTAGTGAACATTTCATGATCGTCTTTTGAGTATCGAATGCACCACCATCTTTAATGCTTATATCTATATGTACCTATATATAGTACTTCTAGTACATTAATATACCATCCGAGAGTGACAATTTAATTTCGAAATTGAAAAAAGGATTAGGTAATGAAACGTGATTAACAATAAATTTTCATCTCTATTCATTGTATTCAATTACTGTCTATTGTTTTTTCTTAATTTACAAAGTAGACATCAAAAGTCAATTTCAATTTGATTTCCCATTTGAAAATTAAGTTTTGAATAAAATTGGTTTGAACTTTGAAATTTAAAATTTCAAAAATCAAATAACTCTCAAAATATAACGGATAAGGAAATTAAATTGTTTTAAAAAATTTGTGACAGCTGGAAGGGGATGGAAGCTGTTAAGTTGCGTCATCATATGGGACATGATTGCGTCAAACTGTACGGACATTGGGCCTTTTGAAATCATTACCTGAACACGTGACTGAGTTGTCCCAGTTAGCGAGTTTGGACTTATGCATCAAAAAGTGAAAAATCCAAGGCCACAAAATACTCCCATACAAGGTGTGAATAAAGCCCACGAGTCTTGACTCAGTCAAAGTGGGACCACGACTCCCATTCAAGGTCAAGGTCCATCCACATATAAGGTCTCTTATTAATAGTAAGGTCCAAATGGCTAATGAGTAACACTTTATTTTGTTTTGTTTTGTTTTATTTATTTATTTTTTTTTGTTTTTCTCTCCATTTTCATCATTATTACTATTGTTTTAACTATTTTACTCGAATTTTTGTTCTAATATAGTTAGCCAACTCTACTCTTAATAAATCTTGCGGGGTAGTTCAGTTAGTCAGATTTTAAATTTGTTTCTCAATGGTTACTAATTCAAATCTCTGCAGGATTACTGGAAACTTATCTGATCGTTAATTTTAGGACCTCGAGGGATTAATCGAGGTGTGCGCAAGCTGGCACAGGCCACTGTAAGCTTACCAGATCATTAACTTCAGTGCCTCGTGGAATCAGTCGAGATATGCGCAAGCTGGCCGAACATTTCAAATTCCCATAATCATTATAATAAAATATTTCTCTTTTTTTTTTTAAAAAAAAAATATATGATATTTCATTAATTAGAATCCAACTTCAATAATCAAATCCCTTGATTTCAAATCCATTCATTTATGTAAATGAACCCTAAAAGATTTGCATGCATTAACTAGGTTATTAGTGAAAAAAAAATTCATGAGAATACTCGAGAAAAAGGTAGTACGTCATTTTTCAAGGTCATGTGTTAATAATATATAAAGTCTAATAATTCAAAAATCTCATTATATATAGCTGCAAGCTAGGATCACACTTACTATTTTGGACCACAATTTATTTTGCATTTACTTTTATAACAAATAAAGACATAATAAACAAACCAAGGTGGGGTTTGGTGGGAAAACATAAAGAGGGAAGACTTTTTTGGCTACATGTTTGATAGGAGCTAATTTGGTAACAACAACCAAAAAAAAAACGTATGAATTATTATTGTATCACATGTGAAACAACAGTGGGACATAAAAAGTAGGGCAATACCTTTCTTTCTTAAAAGAAAGTATTCAATATTATTCCTTAATTTAATTTGAAATTAATGAAACGCTAATGAGATGGCCTTTATTTTTTTGATAATTTGATGGCTCATGGACCACAACAATAATTTAAATTTGTGACCCAATTAGTACATCTTTTATATACTTTTCTGTGATATATAATAATTACACTTTTTCCCCCAAATTGTCGTGTCATCCATATTTTCACAATACTCGTATTTCATTGGTTAATTATTCTCTCTTTATTTATTAATATATTCAATTGAGTCATGCTTTAATTTAATGATACTTTTTCATCTTAAAAAATATCAAAAATTCAAATCCCCATAGAAGCAAAGTGGATATATGAATTTTTTGCCAAGGTTAAAAATAATAAATAAAAACAAAAAACAAAAAGTTATCTATATATATAAAGAGAGAAAATAAATTCATATTAATCCTTGTTATTGTTTTTAATACCACTATACATGATATATTAAAATATTTCTCCACGATCTTCCAAGAAAAATGAATTGAAGAGAAAACAACAAAACAATAAGTCAAAATATGAAATATAAAAACAAAATTTTACCATAAGTGGAGAGTAACGTGTGTAATTGATACAATTTTTTTTTTTTTTAGGAACTAGCATCAATTTATTTTCTAAAAAATTGAAATAGGTACATGTAAAGAGAAACTGAAGGACATAAAAAAAAAAAAAAAAAAAGAGAGAGAAAAAATAAATGTTTTAATAACAAGGAGCATTGTAAGGGGGAAGATTCTTGTAGAAAGGCAAATTGTCATCCTACACTAATCATCATACCTCCTTTTCCTTTATCAAAAAACATGAGTGGAGTATAGCATACATACTAGTGAAAAAGCTATATGTATGTATATATATATAGAGAGAGAGAGAGAGAGAGAGAGAGAGAGTATACATATATATATATATATATATATATAGATAGAGAGAGAGGGAGAGAGAGGGAGAGAGAGTGTTTGTCTTAGTTGGTGAGAAGTCAGTGTTAGCAAGGCTTTTGTAATTGGAATAAACAGTGTAACTAAGCCCTGCCGACAAGGATTTCTGTCTCTCCACTAAATGAGTAATTAGATGACCCCAAAACCAAAGGTAGCATAATACTTTTCCACTGACTTTTCTACTGACTTCACTCACCAAAAAGTGAATGCCCAATTGATTCTCAAAATTTTCACCTTTTCTACTGTTTGTGAAGGTGGGTGGGTGAATCTGAAATCCATCAATTGAGAGACAGAATAAAAATTCACAAAAATGCTTTAAGATGTTTGTATGATGATGAGAGGAAATGATAAGGATAAATGTGTGTGTGTGTGTGTGTGTGTGTGTGTGTAGTTTCTCGCAAATTCTACTTGTATTACCAACAAAAGGTGTAGAACAAACAGTGAGCTTTCCATTATTGGAACACACTTTAGTTGAAGTAATAGGATGATGACCATCCATTGTCAAATGCCTCGTCATGATCCATTTTCTACCCTTTTTGAATTGTTTGCATTCATGCAGTATTGAATTCCCCATTGTTGAACTCCTTCAATATCATCTATCCCTCTAAATATATGAACGACTAGTTCATAGCACAACGCTTCTGCCACTCCATGGTGTAAAAAGGGTCAGATGTATACAATTTTGCTTCTGTAACGAAAAAATTGTTTCCTGAACTCTGTGACCTAAAAATCACAATGGAACGACCTTACTATTGCAAACAGTACAGGTGAAAAAAAGAAGGAAATAAACTCATTTCAAGTGTCAAAAGAAATGAATGATCATTCCATTTGGTGTAATCCTTCAAGGATTATCTTATGCTATCTTATCCATTAGGAGCCTATGCTATACAACCTTGCTAACCTAACGTCTCAAACCATAAACACCTTTCTGCTTTTTGCTTGACCTAAGAGTGACCCTCAATAGGAGGGCAATAGAAATATAGCATAGAATATGAGACACAAGCAAAACATACTCAGAAATCTTTCCTGCCAGATTGTATAAATCTTAACTGTAACAAGATTTATTTACAGAATGGGACATCATATGGGTTAACAGATTTTGAAGAACAAAAATTGCAAATCAAAGGCAAAACAATAAGTTATGTTACAGTCTGGTGTATCATAACTTGTTAAGGGAAAAAAGTTATAGATAAAATTTGGGATAGAACCATTTTCATCACAATGACTAACTAGTTACAGTTCTTCCAACTCTCAAAGCTATCCGAAACCTGGAGAGTCAGTCAGACTTCATTGGAGAATCGCTATCAAGAATTTCCTGTGGAGCTTCATGCAGACAGTCTTCTCTACTTTGGGTCCTCCCAATACCTTTTTCACAATCACGGGGAGCATCATCCAATGAGACTGCACGAACGTCACGAGCTTTGGAATGTTTCAAAGAGAAGTTACCGAAAGACGATTTAATTTAAGGCTTTTAAGCCCTTCTCTCTCTCTCTCTCTCTCTCTCTCCATAGAAACCATAACATGGAAATAGACATCCACTTCTTTTATGGTGGGGCTCAACTCTCCTAAAGGCACAACCAGAAGATAGGGATGAGATGGCAACAGAGAGAAGTGCTCCACCAGCTAGAAAGATTTGTTCTCTGGTCCTTCCGAGGTTGTTGACCCATGTTGCAAAGGCTTTTCATCCACCCTACCATTTTTTGAGCAACACATCACTGGTTTCTTTCAAAAAGAAACTTGACAGCCAAAATTTCCATAACATGTCTTTTCTTGGATCCTTTCCGGGAAAATTCCACTTCAATTATGATTTAGCAATCACCAACCAAAGCATCTTATGGTGGCCTCTCCAGTCCAACTAAATCTTTGTCAAATGCTTCTGCCACAGAAAAGAGGGGTATATTAGAAAGATATTTAAGGTCATTCTTCAGTTGAACTAGCCGAATTTCTTTATTTAACATTTCCGACAAAAAAAGTGGTCAACAGGTACTAATACTTGAGCACACAGCTTATGTGACTGATGTTGCTGACCAAACTGAGTCATTAAAAAAAAAAGAAAAAATGACGCAAAAGATAATAACCTGAGTATTTAAGGTGCAAAGAGTTCATTTCAGTTGAAAGAAGTGAAGACTATTTTTTATTTACTTCGGCAAATAACCAGGCTAGGATCACTAGATAATTAAAACAGAAACTAAGGATCAGGAGTTGAGCTCCACAAATTAAAGAAACATTGCATGGGTTCGGAATCTTACAAGAAGCGGAAATAGTGAGGTTCATCCAAGAATTGGAGTGGCTTGTGCAAACTGAATCTAAATGTGTAAATTCTAAGCTTAAGTCGGAGCTCACTGGACATGGGGACACTAAGGTTCACGCAGGTACTAGTGATGATTTTGGCTACTGAATCAAGTTTGGAACTCAATCACAACTTACCTAGAAATGGGACCTCTGTATAAAAATAAAAGATAATTAATTAATAATGGTGTTTCCCCATCATTCCACACTGCATCCAACTAGCACATGCAGTCGAGAAATGAACACTTGAGAATATACAAAGACATTCAATAATGTTTCTTAAAGATGGACTATGAGATGCTCAGACAAGGGACCCATGAAAAAACGGGATACTGAACTCGAGTGGGAACAGAGGGAAATTATGTTGCATGGACTTTGAAGTGATTGGATTTGTGAATGAATTCCCAGTGAAAGGTTAAAATCTTATTCAACCAGTCAACTATTCACAGACAAATGAAATGCTAAGCATCACCAACAAAGCAATCGAATTACAAAACAAAGTTTTTTTCTTTTCTTCCTCAAAACCTAAGAATGCAAAGGGTGCAATTAAAGGTCTAAAGCATGACTCATATAAACAAAAGCATCAATATCACGACGAAGAGAACTCAATTACTGCCTATTAATATCTGTAAACTGCAGAAACCTTGAAGCTAACTGCAACCCCACAACCAAAAAAAAAAAGGAAAAAAAATCGCAGATAAACATAATTCATATGCTAAAACCCAATCAACATACAAACATATCATCCATTCCAAAGACAACTATTAATCAAAATAAACAATAAAAATGCTAATTGTGGAAACAGAAAAACATCATGCGGAATTGGGGATTTTGAACTTAAAAACAAAGGAGAAACAAAAATGTTATTCATCCAAAATTACTTGAGGGACCAAAATATTACAATATTCTTCGTGTCTCATGCTTATGCAGCATTTTTGTATCTTTACTGACAAGAAGGGTTTCTTTTCACAATTTAATGACTTCAAAAACTATTCTTGTGGGAGATGAGCAATCTCTTGAACCAAGAGGCTCTACGGTAGTATATGTAATTCAAAATTTCATCAATGTGTCTCTACTTCCCACCAATGATCCAACATCCAGAAAATCTTCTAAACGGAAAAAATATATAGACAAGTACCAAATGAAATAAGCAGTGAAAAAAATAATAAGAAATCCTACAAAACTAAAATTCTAAAGGAGAAAAAGGTGTTACATTGAAGATGCATCAACAAAGACCTCATTTAGCACATCATCCTCACCGTTTGCCAAGGCGAACAACTCTGCATCCTTTTCTTCATCATTCGAGGAATCCCGCTTCTCAAGCTTCGAATGAGCAGCAATGAATATCAACTTCTGAGCCCGGTCCATGCCTGCCCTCGAGTGCCCATGGGCATTCACCCATCTCAAGAAAGACCAATTGCACTTGAACCTACATGAAGTTGCATGAAGGAAAATGAGCCTAACTGCAACTTTCCCTAGTGACTTGAATTGGGTAAGGTAAGTTTCCCAGACTAGCCTACTGCTCTGGGGGTTGGCAATTTTCATCTTTCCTGTAATGGGGTCTCTCTGCTTCAATTGTACAGCCTGGGCATATACTGGATCAAGCCCTTCTGTTCTCCATTTCATAAGCTCCATAAGTGCAATATGAGCCTCCTCTCTCGATACTAGCCGAGTTATGAGCTTGTCTACATCCTTCTCTTGCTCTGGCGTCAAGCATTTGAAGGGAGGCAGGTACTTCCCACTTGTATCCCTAATCAAATAAAGCGGATCGAGTATAAATGCAGCAGACCAAGCTGGGTGATAATTCTTTCTGAAGCGCCTATCAACCACATTTTTCACAGGCCCTTCGGCAATGTGGAACTTAGCACACCAGTCCTTCACTTTCACCCTAAAATCATCCCAAAGTGGAAGGCATTGCCCAACTAATGGCCTCTCTGACTCAATTTCCTGAGCTATTCCCTTTATCAGTTTTATTAGCGAATGCACGGCTTCCAATTCATTCCAAAAATGAGGATCCCTCATCATCTCCTCAATCTCTCTCGCAATCGGCTCCTCCATTGACACTATCTTATATGATTCATCAAGCAAAACTAGCTGAAGTGCTCGTGCCGAGCTCAGTATGTCCTCCACCATAGAGAACGCAGGTTCAAAGTTGGAATGCTCATAATCAGGCAATGGTACTCTTAACAATCCAGCATGCCCATACTCCTGCAACTGATATTTGTGAAAACTATTTCGAACTTGAGACTTATTATTGACGAAATTAGCTAGTTTTAAACAATTCTCAGTCACATTCTTGAACAATGGAAGCTCCTTATTGAAATCCTTAATCAAACTATTGAACCCTTGAAACTGACAAGAAAGATTGATCATCCAATGATACTGATTCTCTAAATTCCTCAATGCCTTGGCCTTAAACTTGTCTGCAACTATACCTACACATTGTTGCACAGCATTCCCACAAATGTCTTTGATTGTGTTCCACAAAACCTCCTCTGCATACGTAGAAGGCGATTGCCCGTTAATGAACACCGCCCTCCGAAACACACTAGTCCCATTGGGTAGATTCACAGCCAAGTTCACCAAATTCTCTTCCACACCATGTCCATAGTTCTTTGATTTCCAACCATCAGAAGCAATTTGAAAGAACATGGCGTCTCGAATTCTTGCTTCTGTCTCCGCTTTCGCTTCCATATACTTAGCATCTAATCTAGAACCTGCTAAATCTCTCCGCGAAACTGCAGGCAATCCAACCTGGTTAAGGAAAGCTTTGAACTTTGGGTGCTCAAGACTTGAAAATGAGACTGACCCACAAGACTCATAGACCCAATCAGCAAGAAAATCAAGTGCAGAATCAACCTGTGTCTTGCTTAGAGTTGGACCAGGTGATGCTTTAGGACTCTTCAGCTTCTTCACACTATCTTCCAACATAGCTAAAGCACCAAAATCTTCTTTTCCACCAGATAACACCAAATGCTGTTGCTGACCATACAGACCACCACCTCCTCCACCACCACCACCACTTGCTGTCACAACAGCCGTAGCCGGAGAAACCGACGGCAAGTAAGCAATTTCCACCGAAAACCTCGACGGATCAACCACAGCAAGTGGCGGAACCTGATAGGAAGATGAAGACACACCACCACCACCTCCTCCTCCTCCGCCCCCACCACCACCGCCGCCGGCACTGCCATTGCGACCACGGGAAGAAGAAGAACTCCGTTTCCGGTGGTTGGGTTGCTGCGAAGAAGAAGACGGCGAAGCGAGATTAGGCAGCGAAGAAGGCGAAACCGACGAAATGGGTTTCGGAACAGAGTTGAAATTGGGGCAAGTCCCTCTCTTGAGATGCTCCGAAGCAGTCCTTGATGGGTTCGAAGCAGAGAACACAGCGTCACACAGCGAACACCTCAATTTCACTGCTTTGGGCAGACCCGTATCGGAATTGTGAACCAGTATTGGCTCCAGATGTGCCCAGTACCAAGCCCCTTTGCCCTTTATCGCTTTGGTTCGAACCATCACCAACCCTTCGTAGCGCTTGTGCACGGCCTTGGCCGCGAGCTCGTCCGGTGAGAGCGACACCGAAGACGACTCCACTGGTTGGGTCGTCGTGGTATTCGTAGCCGCCATTATAGCAACAGCACACAAAATCACACACACTCCACACTATGAATGTGTGAAATAGATTAATAATGTTATGGCTCTAAATGCAAAATACAAGTACGGAGTTGAGGTGTATTGTGAAATTTCTTGAATTTCCTGAAAAAGGGTTTTTTGGGTGTCTGATTACCGTCGCCGTCGTCGTCGCCGGAGGGTTGAGGGGTGGTTTTCGTTTGTGGGTTATTGGGTTACATTTAGCCGGCAAAAACCTTCGGCGGCGGCCGGAATTTGAGTCTCCGCCGTTGGTCCATGCCGGAACTCGGCGATCTGGTGATCTGGGGTTGTGAGGCTAGTCTTGATGGGTTGTGTCTCAGCTGTTTGAAACCAGAGACAGAAAGAGAGACGGTGTAGAGAGAGAAGAGAAGTACAAGGAGTCAAGAGAAGCTTTTAGAGAGAGAGTGTGTTGTGTTACAGAGTTATGCTGCTCTAGGGGACTGTGGAATACACGCTCTGGGTGCGAGTGGGTAACATTACCAAAATCAATTTGATGAACGCAGTACATCACCTGAGATTGGTTGTGGAAATCTTTTGATTGGGAGGTGATGCCACGCGCTATTGAAGGGAAGCTTTAGATACTACTACTACTTCTTCACTGTTGTTAGTATGTTGTTGGAAGTCTTGTTAGGGCTTGTGGGACAGTTGAGCTCTTTTGTGGTTTGTCCCTTTCTTTCTTTTTCTTCTCATCAGATATTTTATTTTCTATTCTTTTTGTATATAATATATATACTTTATGTATTATATATATAAAATGTTGTGAATAAAAAATAAATAAAAATTAGACATTTGTTTAGTGCAATTATTAGTCAAAACACAACAGAGAAGTATGTTTTGGTATTAATAAACAATATGGACCGATGAATACATTAACAAGAAAATGAGGATACATTTACATAGAAAATAAATGGCATTAAGGCATATTATAATTTTTGTTACATTTGGTAATAAGGAAGAAAGGGATGGAAAGTCTCAATTATATGATTTATCCTAAAAATAAATAAATAAATCTTACACAAGAAAAAGATATCCAGAGAATAATGCATGGATGTGAGATATGAGTGACCATTTGTGTTTGACAAGTAATAAACATATTGTGACAAATAATCGTGTTAGGAGCTCCTGACATGAACATAATTTATTTATTAAATAGATAAAAATGATGTGAATCGTGTAACATGTTTAATAAATAAGACGTGCTCTATATAACTTATAACACGACTTGTGAATTTGACACGATTAATTAAACCAGTGTTTAGTATTATGACTTAAATATGGTTGAGGTCAACCAGACGTATTAATTTCTTGGTGTGTTGGAGTCGTGTGAGATAGGCATCTTGACTCCTTAATTTTCATACTTCCAAAAAATAATAAGTACAGTATTGTATATAATTAAAATGGACGTTGTCAATCTTTATAAAAAAAATTTACAAAATTATACAATAATAATAATTCAAAGATATAAAATATTATTGCATTCATTTCCTTCTTACCAACATGGTTTGTCGTATCAGCTAGTATGCGATGTATCGACCAATGCGTAACCATTTTTCAAATGTTCGATAACATTACATATCTTAATAAATTAGTCAATTTTCACCAATATTCGACCAAATTCGTTACACTGCGACCGTGAGCAATACCCAACACCGCAATTGCAAACCATGTTTTCCAAAGGGTGTTACTTTCTTTAACTTCTTTCAATAAATGCGGTTAGACTCTGTGGAGGGAAAAAATCCCCTCCAATAAGAATATTCCACGTTATCACAGATGTAAATCTATCTGCCAAAGGCCCGTCATGCTCAAGCCCAAATTGAGTGTATTTTTAGCCCAAGACCACTGTTATCTGTCTTCCAACCTCCATCAAGGCCGAATCAAAAGGTCATCAGTCCAACTTTTTAATATTTAACATCCGGCCCGTTATTCAAGCCCAGCCGGATCAAAGTATGTTCAGCCCAGTTATTCAAGAATGCACAAGTCCTACCAGTTGAAGGATTTACCATAGAAGGAAAATTCTGAGATAAGAAATTCTATACAAGGCAAGTTCTATGCATGGAAAATTAGACAATGGAAAGAACTCTATTAGTAAAGAATGTTTATATAGAAAGAATTGGAGGACAAGCAACGCGAGTCCTACCATAATTCTACAATCTTTTGTATATAAATAGAGGCTTAGACCTCCAATAAAGAGATCAAGCAATTCTACGCTTCTCTATATACTGTTCTTGTTTATTTTTATTGTTTGTTGAGTGAGTTGTTTTATTTCTCTTAATCATTATTGGTTGGGTGAAATTTTGCACCTACACTTTGGCGCCGTCTGTGGGAATCGTATAGAAATATATCCCCACCAAAGTTACGACACTTCAAATTAAAATCTCCAAATCCAGCAACGTGACTTGAAATTAAAATCTTCAAGTCCAGGATTTGAACCCAAGTCCTCTCCAACAACGACTCTCATGGCCAAAAGTCACGTTGATGAATACGCTTTCGGACAATAATGCGTACCAAAGCTGATGAATGGAAAACCCAAGAGGCATCACATGTGTTTGCCCTGCAATCAGATGTCCATCGGAGTCCACAAAGCCTTAAGTTAATCAGATAAGTGTTTTGATTTTGATTTCCTGTTAATTTTGATTATATATATATAATCTTGAGCAACAAATCCATGCATAATTATTGTTCATACTAATCTGAACTCAAGATTATTAAGTCGAGTTGATCTTCAGAACTCGAGTCTGTAACTTGACCATCAGGTTAATAGAAAAAATAATTTTGAAAAAAAAAATAAATAAGTTCATGTTTTTGAAGAAACTTGAATTAGCTGGAACACTTTTTCCGGCAATTTCTTGCTGCTTTTGGCCCCAATTTCTGGGAATCCCAACTTATAAAACTCTGCAAAGAATTAGAAAATCGATTAGGGTTGGGAAGAATTGATATAACTGAAATTCTTGGCGATTTGCCTAAAATTCAGAAGCTTACTTTCTATGCATTTTTTGTGAAGTTTGTGGCAGCAATGTTTGATTATTTGACAGCACTAGACTGCGTGACATGACATTGGATCAACTTCGAATTATGCTAATGATAAGTTTAACATTACAAGAGAATTGATGTGTTTCCGAGCATCATCAAGAGCAGAAACAATGTGGGTGGACTGAAGAGCCGATTAATTGGCAATCATGAGGAGATCATACACTCGGCAATGGACCCCAAATCCAAAGTCGGAGACATGCTCGATCTCTGAGATGGAGTCGCTGGCGGTCCGGATCTCACGTCAGGTGTGTCATCGTTCTCATAATCGGACGTGCTGGAACGGGTGGAGGCAAGGGTGGATCGGGCAGAGACCGATTCGGGATCCAAATGAACTCGATTCATGGATAAGATCTGATAAAACTCCTTCTGAAGTCATTTCATAGCGATTTGTATAAGGTTTTAGGCTCGCACAAGCATGTCGAAGGTTGAGATCGGCCAATTTTCATAACAACCCCCAGTTGTACAAGCCGCCATTGCCACAGCGGCCTAGACCGTCACCACCAGCCAAGTCCGCCGAATGCACCGACGAGAAGTCACAGCCGCTTCCTCATGACCGAACCGGAGTTCATCCCAGCCGAACCACCCGTCTTCCACAAGCTCGCCGGCTATCCTCATCAGCGCCGGCTGCATCCTCACCAAGCTCGCAGATCTGTCTCGCCGGTGGTTTTCACCTCACCAGCCGTCCATCTCTATCGCGAGCTTGCCGACCAATTTCATCCTAGTCAAGCCATCGCCCACAGGTCGAACAGCCCGCCGTCCATCACAACTTCTCCTTGCTCGCCTCCTTTGTTAATTACAAACTTGTATCAGTTTATATATATATATATATAGCCTAATGGTCACTGTTTGGGTGCAAATGTAAAGCTATTCTAGTTTTGGATTAGTCCAGAACTAAACCCGCTTGGTAACCTTATTTGAGAACTGGTTCTGTGGTAACCCAGTTGGGGAAAAAAAAAAAAAAAAAAAAATTATATTGCCGATTTGAATTGGGGACTCATTTTGGAGCATTCAAAGCTTCGTCTTCCGAGATAGCTTGGTCTTCCAAGAACCGAAGAAATCAGGCTCTTAGGTCGGCAAAGTTCTTCCCAGCATTCCATTTTTCAAGGCTAACGGTGAAATAAAGGCTTTCAGAACATTTTTAAAGATCGGTTGCCGCTCAATGCCACAAAATTCAGCAGACTCATCAGCCGGACATTTCAAACATCCCAGGCCTTATCAGACGCGAATCTCTCTAATCAGATAAGTTTCCCAACTTTAATTTTACAGTTAAGATTAAGCTTTTCGTGCTAAAAATCTTTATTAAAAATTAAATACATATTAAATATATATATATATATATATATATATATATATATATATATATATTTACGCATGCTCATTATACATAAAGATCTATGACTCGGCTCAAATTGCATATTCAGTATACTCTATTGAGTAAAATATAAAAAAGAGACCACCTGAATTTCTGTCTCTGTCAACACTCAACAAATTCTTTAATCTCTTTTTCTTCGATTATAATCCTCTATGGATTCATCCATCTCTCCCTCATCGAGGATTTTTAGCATTGCAATTTTAGTTTTATCCACTAGTTGTTTTGCTCACGATTCACTTTGATCAAAATTTTAGATTATATCCATTCGTTGTTCACTGAAGGTTGATAATTGGTCAAAACCTTAGGACCACAATACTTAATATTGTTGGTTCAGACTCTTCAGAGAGATGCACTACTTCATCACTACTCAACTAAAAGAAGATTTTGATCCTCTACATTGACTTCTGAAATTTATACTTGAATGAAGATCAGAGGCCAAAGGCATTGTTGAATGCACAAGTTATACTATTTTGTCTGTTGCTCGAAATCCTAAAATATTACATACATTGAATAATTTCAATGTACTTGATAAACAAAAACGAGTAAATACTTGTTGCTAATTAGAATTTCTGATACGTAAAAAGTTCTTAAAATTCTTTCTTTCCTTTATCAGTTGCTATATGCTACGTGTAATCATTTTACATGCTTCTGGTAACTTTATTTATGAATAACTTTGTATTTACTCCGTATTCGTATGCTAATTAATATTTGGGTTGATTTCTTTTCTGTGCATTGCAAGACAGATTGATCCCCAAGTGTAGTGGCGAATAGACCAACTATGCAGCTATGCTATATATGGCCTCAAAACGCCAAAAAAAAAAAAAAAAAAAAAAAAAAAAAAAAAAAAAAAAACCCTCGGACCTCAAGAGTTCGACGGCATCAAAAACTCTCAAGGCACAAAGCCGAGGGACAACAAAGTCTCGGACCTCAGGAGTCCGTAGGCACCAAAAAACAAAATTTCCTCTAAGGCACACAGAACTGCCGAGGAATAAAATTTATCTTCGGACCTCAAGAGTCCGCAGATTTCAAAATTCCTCT